GCTTTTGAAAAGAAGAGGTAAACAACTCATTTAGTAGTATTTTCTGAAGAATCAGTGCCCAGAAGGGTACGTAGAGAAGGACATAGAGACATAGCAACAACAGTAACAAAAGATCCTTCTGCCTGCGTATCTAGAGTGAAGAGTCCATAAGGACTCAGTCAAGTAATGAATAGAGACACTATTCCCTTTTTTTAATATACATCCCTACATTTGCATAACAAATGCAAACATATCTATCTGGAGAATCTGTTAGAAAATGTGGCAAGTACCTAATAACTGCTTATTAAAAAGCGGGTATTGCCAATTCCTGAAGGCAAAACTGAGTTAGAGTGATCACAATCTTATCTGATCTGCTGTAAAAATTCCCAAGTTCTTTTTCATACAAGACAGAATCTGCTGATGAAATCAGATGGTTTCCTCCCAAATCACATATCCCAGAGGATGGTCTCCTTCCACTTTTCTGCTTATTTTCTTAAGAATACCACTAAGAACACAAGGGACTTGAAACACCAAAATGAAATGATTCCTCCATAAACCTGTATAACACCAGCGGGAGAGCTTAAAAAGGTGAAAAGTGTTAATGATGTCATTACCACTAGGTCACCTGTAGCCATGAGCGCGAAGGAAAGAGCATTTCTCAAACCCCAAGCTGCTGTTACAGCAACTTATCACTAGGTCTTGGCAGGACTGCTTGAGATTTCATGACGTGTATAATTTGCAGAGGGCACGTTTCCTCCTGGTGAGTATACTGATAAACCAAGCTAGAATAAAATGACTTTAAAAGGATCCCATTCTTAAGCCTGAATTTGTGGCTGGTTTAAATCAGAAGATTTAATTTTATTTAAAGCTTTAAGTTCAACATAATGAATTTAATGACTTTTTTATGTACCATGTTGGCATGGTACATACCATCACATTCTTGGCAAATGCTTCATGATTTATACCTGGGTTCCTTTCTTTTCCTTGTCTCCATTTCCCCTTTCTTTTTTCCCCTTCCCCTTTCTCTTCCCCTTTGTACCTAAACTACATATGATGTCTCTTCTCTCAGGTGCCCAAAGCCATCAAACTTAAAGGGATTTGAGGTGTCACAACGACCCCTTTAAAGTAAACAGGAATTTCAGTAGAAACACAAGATACACAGCACTTCCAGAAATCTCACAGGGAAGTAATGGTGCAAAACGTGGAAGAGAAGCTGTAGGGCCAGCACTGCGTTTTTTGCCATAGCACTTCTGGCTACTACTGGAGCACTGATAAGCAGAGCACCAGCTTGCCTCAGCAATTGCCTGAATTCAGAGCCCTTGGTCTGTGCCCAGACAAGCATTCACTTCTGCTGGGCTACCTTTTCCAATCTGCTACCATACGTTAGTTTTTGCTGCCTGTCTGCTTGTGCTGACCCTGCAAGGAGGCTTGG